TTTGTTCAACCCTCATGACCACGTAGATTTCATAATGCAAACAACTTTTTTTTTGCAAAACTTTTTTTTTATTCGCACGCGTGCATCAGTTTTGGGGCTCCCGGAGGATGTCATCCATATAATCAAATCAACATGGCCTTACAAGATGATACAGAAATATTTCTTGTTTCACAGCAATCAGTCTACCTACCCACTTGTCCCGTGCGTTCACATCTGCACCAGCTGTCAGTAAAACTGATACAGTTTCATGGCGGCCACTCCAGGCTGCCAGGTGCAGGGGAGACTCTTGCTGTAAAATAGATCATATGGTCTTCAGCATGACAACAGGACGGACAAAAGTGAAGATATTTTGTTGACAATTCTAATGGAATTCAGCAAGTAAACTGCTATACAACTGAAGATAGATGTCAAATCCTATAAGAGACATAAAAATGTTTCTGTGTCACAGCAATCAGTCTACCTACCCGCTCGTCCCGTGCGTTCACATCTGAACCAGCTGTCAGTAAAACTGATACAGTTTCATGGTGGCCATTCTTGGCTGCCAGGTGCAGGGGAGAGTCTTGCTGTAAAATACATCAGATAGCCTTCAGCATTACAACAGGTCAGACAAATGTGCGGTTATGTTGTCGAAAATTCTAACGGAATTCAGCGAGTAGACTGCTATACAACTGAAGATAGATGTCAAATCCTATAAGAGACTAAAAATGTTTCTGTGTCACAGCAGTCAGTCTACCTACCCCATTGCCCCGTGCGTTCACATCTGCACCAGGTGTCAGTAAAACTGATGCAGTTTCAGGGTGGCCATTCTGGGCTGCCAGGTGAAGAGGGGTCCGTTGCTGTAAAACACATCAAGAAGTCGTTAGTATTGCAACATAACGGACAAATACGCACTTTGTATATTGTTTTGTGTTGCTAATATTTTCGTGTTGGTGATATTTTAAACAGAAAATGCTATATAGAAAATGATTGTCAATCGTATAAAATGACACAAAAATATTTCTTCTATCACAGCGATCAGTGTACCTACCAGCTTGTCCCGTGCGTTCACATCTGCACCAGCTGTCAGTAAAACTAATACAGTTTCATGGTGGCCATGCCAGGCTGCCTTGTGCAGGGGAGGGTCTTGCTGTAAAAAACATCAGATGGTCTTCGGCATGACAACAGGACGAACACATGCACTTATTTTGATGACAGTTCTAACGGAATTCAGAATGTAAACCGCCATATTTCTGTGTCACAGTGGTCAGTCTACCTACCATAGTGCCCCGTGCGTTCACATCTGCACCAGCTGTCAGTAAAGCTGATACAGTTTCATGGTGGCCATTCCAGGCTGCCCAGTGCAGGGAAGACTCTGGCTGTAAAATACATCAGATGGTCTTCAGCATGACAACAGGTCGGACACAAGTGCACTTATGTTGGTGACAGTTCTAAGGGTAGTCAGCAAATAAACCGCTGAGTAAGAAGATGAGAAGATGAATGTCAAATCTTACAAGATGATACAGAAATATTTCTTGTATCACAGCGATAAGTCTACCTACCCCATCGCCCCGTGCGTTCACATCTGCACCAGCTGCCAGTAAAACTGATACAGTTTCATGGTGACCATTCTCGGCTGCCAAGAGCAGGGGCGAGCCTTGCTGTAAAACACATCAAAAAGTCTTCAGTATTGCAACATAAGGGACACATATGCACGTTGTATATTGTTGTGTGTAGGAAATATTTTTGTGTTAGTGATATTTTATACAGCAAATGCTATATAGAAAATGATTGTCAAATATGCACTTCGTTTAGATATTGACAAATATTGACAAATATGCACATCGTATATTGTTGTGTGTTGGTGATATTTTTGTGTTGGTGATATTTTGAACAGCAAATGCTATACAGAAAATGATTGTCAATCGTATAAAATGACACAAAAATATTTCTTGTATCACAGCGATCAGTCTACCTACCCGCTCGTCCCGTGCGTTCACATCTGCACCAGCTGTCAGTAAAACTGATACAGTTTCATGGTGGCCATTCCAGGCTGCCAGGTGCAGGGGAGACTCTTGCTGTAAAATAGATCATATGGTCTTCAGCATGACAACAGGACGGACAAATGTGAAGATATTTTGTTGACAATTCTAATGGAATTCAGCAAGTAAACTGCTATACAACTGAAGATAGATGTCAAATCCTATAAGAGACATAAAAATGTTTCTGTGTCACAGCGTCAGTCTACCTACCCCATTGCCCCGTGCGTTCACATCTGCACCAGGTGTCAGTAAAACTGATGCAGTTTCAGGGTGGCCATTCTGGGCTGCCAGGTGAAGAGGGGTCCGTTGCTGTAAAACACATCAAAAAGTCGTCAGTATTGCAACATAACGGACAAATACGCACTTTGTATATTGTTTTGTGTTGCTAATATTTTCGTGTTGGTGATATTTTAAACAGAAAATGCTATATAGAAAATGATTGTCAATCGTATAAAATGACACAAAAATATACATCAGATGGTCTTCAGCATGACAACAGGTCGGACGAATGTGCACTTATGTCGAGGACAGTTCTAAGGGTAGTCAGCACATAAAGCGCTATGTAGAAAATGAATGTTAAATCTTTCAAAATGGTACAGAAATATTTCTTGTAGCACAATAGTTAGCCTGCCAACTTCATCGTCCCGTGTGTTCACATCTGCACCAGCTGTCAGTAAAACTGATACTGTTTCATGGTGACCATTCTGGGCTGCCTGGTACAGAGGAGTTTGCCCCTCCTGCCTCTTGGTTCTCATTGCACATCCTTAAGCGTTTCTTCACCATATATAAGCAACATGACGAAAGACATAGCAACAAACCATAAAGCCACCAGCAGCATTAGGGTTGACTCCCCCCGCTAACAGCTGCTTCACTCTGTCCGTGTCTCCTTCCTCTGCAGCCTTCCGCAGCGCCTATAGCGGCGGCAGGCAGGAACAGGAGAAACAACTGTCAACACTCAGTCAATCAGAACAACACTCATCAAGATTCAACACCTGTCCCTTCATTTATCCGTCATACTGATATTTCACTTCCTTTCATGTCTCTCATTGTAAAGTTATAAAAAGATGTAGCATTTATCTCCTCTATTTGTGCATACCTTACATATGTTTATTGTTTGACGGCCCATAGTATACAGACACATAACATGACACAAACACATTTGAAAACAAACATCAAAGTATGTACAGATAAATGTAAAAAAAGACTACCGAGCTGTCCTGTCGCAAGGAGGCCACCTTACGTTGGGCAGCCCATCTACATCAGGCTAGAGGAAAAGGCCTGTTATAGATATACACCACCATATGCAATGTCCGTGTGTAACATCAATTCTATTTTTAAAATGTTTTCTTTACTCTACCTTCTCGTCTTCATCCTCGTCCTCCCAACTCGACTCTTCAGACCCGGAATCCTCTGACCCGGACTCCTCGTCTTCCTCCATGTTCTCCTGTTCTCTTCCGTCCATCCCTGGTCTGACCCTACAGATAGATACACACCACCTGCCTAGTGACACTGCCGTAAGTAAGACTAAATAGATCTAGTGCTTTCCTGTAGCGCAAACACAGACCCCACAAATATATCATTTCTCTCCCTAAACAATATTGTGATAGTGGAACAGACCGAGCATCATGTATAGCGCGCTCAGGACATACCTGATTTACATTCATGGCCTCTAAAGCGTTTCCGAACACTGTAGATCAAACTGTACCAACAAAGGAGTAATAATTTCAAAGCCATACAGACATAGCGTCAATGCTTTACTGTTTATATGTGTGCTAAAGGACTGTGGTAAAAGTTTCTTTAGTTTGTGTAGTTCAGGCGCTGTTACATCTGGCAGGGGCGTCATTATGCACCTGTTACTTCCGGGTTTACCTGAATTTTTCCAGAAGTGTCTTGGGAGAGGTTGGCGACCTTTTCCCAGTCTTTAAGGTCTCTGCAAGGCTCTTAGACTGTCCAGGAACCGAAGGCTATTAGTTCTGAGGTCACAAGACGTACAGGTGAGTTCACATAGCGGGTTCACACCCTAACCGTTGTCTACCTAGCTAAGGAGTCCCCTCTCTTTTCAAGCAGGCCACCTACATGTATCCATGTTGACCACTTTTTCTCGGTCCCCAAAATTTCCCCAATGACACAAGTATTAAGCAACCTGTCCAAGGTGACCACCTGGCCAACGCGACCGCGACCACCCTGAATTGGGTCCGCTCAAGGCCTGATACCTGCCCATGGTGACCACATCATTTTCGTTCATGTTGATTATTGATGATAACTAATGAAAAATCATGGAGAAACCAGCCAGTTTGCCTTGATTACTGGATGATGTTTTAGTTCGATGTAAGTCGTTCCATGTGCCAATCTCCCCAAATGCATTTACAGCATTTGAGATTATAACGACCATCTTCAAGGAGACCACCTGTCCATGTGGCCACTTTTCTTTGGTCCCCTGGGTGGCCGGCTTGGACAGGTTTGACTGTACACCGAATAATCAGAGCGCGCGGAAATTTCGCCAGTACACGCCTTATTTACAATCATAGCATCTAAAGCGTTTCTAAATACTGTAGATCAAACTGTACCAACAAAGGAGCGAAAATATCCATTCAGTCACTATCAAAGCCGTCAACACATAGCGTCAATACTTTCTAATTAATAAATAAACAACAACAGTCTATCTATGTGGTAGAAAGATATGCTCTTATGCTCAAATGTCTGTCTTTGTAGTCCATACCTTGCTAATGTTGATAAGGGCGGCACCTCACAATCTTGTTTTGACGTGGGTCAGAGTGCACCTTGAGTTTACCAACATCGATTCATTTGTACAATGATTGACACGTCACGCGGACGTGCCGAGGGGGAAGTGTGACCTTAGGTCATTACACTGTGAGGTGCCTGCTACAAATAACCTGTCTATAGTGGTCTGTGATGAGATGGCGAATCTAAGCATTTTTACAATTTTTCCAAACGCAATGTAATATAAAAACTCTGGAATGATTGTCGTCTATGCATTTCAAACTTTTCAACTGCTCTGCGAATATGTATGTTAATCAGAAGTCGTAAACTCCATTTTTTGTAACAATAACAAGTACTAGTAAAACATCGGTTTGTAACTTTGTTACTTTCCTAATCAACAAAATTACTTTTCAAAAATCAATGTTTCACTTGTCATGTCTCAAACCGTAAAGTTGCAGACATTTCTGAAAAGTAAAGTAGTTTCTGTCATTTGACAAGAAAATGGCGGCATGGCTGTGCCACGTATACAACATTCCTTACCTGCGGTGTAAACTCTAACAGACGTGGGGCGTGTTTGAAAACTCACCTGAGTGAAGTAACCTGAAGACTCGTACCTTTAGATGGTGCAAGAAACAAGCCTGGTGATATAAAACAGGCTCAGTTGTCTCAGGTGTCACTGGTCTGCTGCCGGTTGAAAAACCAGACAAGTCAATATGGCGGCTGGTTAGTTGTTGAACTTTGATCACCTGCCGACCGTTGGATCGGTGGTGTGACGCAGTTTGTATTTACTAACACTGAACATCAAAGGTGGTCCCGAAAATACTCATAATTTGTCAGCTGGCTCCATTAAAGGATAGGACATCCCCAGACGTTTGGGTTTTGCGTTTGTTTGCATATAATGATCAGAAAGTACTTTTAAGAGCTTCATATTATTTCTTTACGTGCGCTTTCTGTCTCATGATCTCAGTCTAGCTTATCTAACTTTACGTGAATAACCAGTTATCAACTCAAAATATTGAGGATCCTAGGAAGCAGTTTTTTCATGTATTTAAAGTGCTTGTCCGTGTTTCCTGGTACACCCAGCTTGATAACCCCCCTGTACAACAATGGACTGATCCAAGAGACGTCAGATCGGTTTTTCCTTCCTAGCATGCTAGGCGCTGTTTTTGGCTCAAGAAGTTTGCCCTGCCCCAGTTCAATAAAGACGCAGGGTCAGGTACGGCTTGAGTGGGCCCGTGTGGGATGAAGAGAATAACGGGGCCTGGCTGACTGTGCTAGCGGCGATTTGGGCGGTGTGTCGCGCGGAGGAAGATGAGACGGTACCGTGTGTATGAATGTATGTTTTATAGGCAAAGTACGCAAATCTTAATGTTTATGTGCTGAAATTCAAGTGGGTGGGGATGGGGGTGTCTGCGTTTCCCGTGACACGGAATTTGTTTAAATTGTGTGTAAGTCAAATTTTACGGTACATTATCGATGACACGTTAGAAGGCGTCTAGAAAAGGAAACCGACAAAACAAAGTGCCTCCATCTTGGATGACCGAACCAGAAACTATTTTCTGTCTTGCCGAGATACAGATCTGTCATTTTCTCGTTGATTGTTCACATGTTAAAGGTGTGTGGTCCTCACCTGTTCTACTCAAGTAACAACAAGCGATAACTCTGTGGAGATGTTCGACAGATCACATGAAACATGCTTCATACTATATATTCTACGTGTATTCGAGAACATTGATTTGGCCGAGGCACGGTTCTGGATATGGACTATTCAGAACTGTGCCTGAGCCTTTGCCGTTCATACTGTGTGTACAACAAACGGTCTTGCTGTTTTTGACTGTACATGTTTTGTAATAATTATCTGACGTCTCACGGACCAGGTAGATCTTTTTTGATCCTCAGTCAAATATGACACACGAGAAGGGCTTCAAGGGAACGCTACATCGGAGAACATCCTGATTGTAAATTTTCGTTTCAACCAGAATCAAGTCAAGAACATGACCATATTTTGCCAGGCAGGTTGCACTTTTGTTTTTAACACCTACACGGTGAAAGCGAGAACTATTTGGTTGTGCAAGAGTTCCAATATAAGGTAGTGTTTTTTTGTCTTCTTTACAAAGTCACATTATTGTGAATGTCAATAAGTAAAAGAGAGGGAAGCTATTGATGAAGAAAAGTTCTCTGCAATATATAGTCGATACTTTACTTGTGTGGAGCTAAGATATATAAAAGGGAAATAAGGACAACATATCCAATATCATTTGTAAAACCATTATTTTCTTAAGCTTGTAAAACAACAGAAAGCCGTAAAAATCACATTGGGAATGCTTGGGACACTAATTATCTACGGCTGAATTTACAACAGAGTTCTGCTGAAGTTATAACTCATTTTCAAACTACTCATTTGCAAATTACATTAGAAAGGACATCGATGAGTGATACAAATTTTCAACCAACAAGTAAAGCTAATAGTATCCCCTTGATTTTCAAAATACTTGCAGGCAAACAAAAACAAACACAATATATTATTACACCTACATCTAACAAATGCTAAACTTACAATATCAAGGATACAAAACAGTACTTATAAGTAATAAACAATATTCAAGTTATAACAGAGTATAAACTTACTAATGTTCCCACACTTAAAACGTGTATATGTACATTAGATTCTTTTTCATCTTCTAAATTTCCTTCAAAGTACTGTAAATATGACTATCATAATAGCTTGCCGGGGCATGCCATGCTTATATGTATATTAGATGACTCTCCATTTGATACAGGTTTATATACAAAATTAAGTTTACACGAGATTGAAAATTACGTCTATTGGTCATTTTAAGTTCCTATTGATATCATACTACATGTACAAAAGTAATCCACGACGACCTGGCTACGTCGTCCTAAATAATTGCAGCGTACATTATAAGGCCTGTATAGAGACAATAGACAGTGTCATTGTAAATGAGTATATCTTTGAAATTGTACATGGCAACTAATAGATGAGGCCACTGTCATGCAATACTTTGCTTTTAAACTGTACTGATTGCATTAAAAGTCTGTTGATCAAAATCAGCAATTAGTGAATCTGACACGTGGAAGAGTGGACGCATCTAGAGTCACTCATTAACGCCACACACCCTCAGCAGGTTTTGGTGCGACTCTTCCCAGTACTTGGACTCCAACAGCTTCTTCTTGTACTCTGCTGCTTTGTCGAATTCTGACTCAGAGAATTCCAAGGTATCTGCGATCCTTTCTGCCCATTTTCTTGCATCCTCAGCCAGGTCGGACTCCCTCACGCTGGTTTTCACGATCCTGTGCCTCATGTCTGCAGGTAACTTCCTCTCCTTGACCAAGTCCATGATCATGTCTGCTAGCCCTGACTTGTCAGAGATGAGTACAGGGATGCCTGCTGCGATGGCCTCCAGACCGATCAGTCCATAAGGCTCGGCACGGGACGGCATCAGGACCAGGTGGGCCTGCTGCATGTCCTGAGCGATGTCCTCCTGGGTTCCACGTGGCAACAGGGTGGGTTTGATCTTACTACTGTGCAGGTTCTCCTCCAGGATTCTCTTGCTCGCTTCCCAGTCATCTTCATCTATCCCACGAACACACAATCTGACGTTTGTGATCTTCTCTGCGACCTCCCCCAAGGCCCGTGCTACCAGGTCATGGCCTTTCAGCTTGTCCACTTCGGTCACTCTCCCGACAGACAGCACGACTTTCTCTCCTCCTCCTGGTCTAACAGAGATGGCTTCAAACACTGGGGATGGTCTTGGAAGAAACACGAAGTGATGTTTTGGTTTGCTATCTCCAAGTGCCATATACTTCGTCTCGAAGTAATTGTAGATTCTTCTTCCCAAGGAGAAGACGGCACCTGCATTTTTGGCATCCTCAAGGATGTCTTCCATCCTCGTCCCCGCGGCCATCGCCTTCTTAGGTCCCTTGCAGTACTCCGTGTCTTCTGGCATGTCGTGGTTGAAAAGGACCAATTTTGCGTTTTGGCAGCGGCTCTCTTGTATGCTCTTTGCAGCTCCACTTGTGACATCTACATGGCCCACAATGCACTTCAGATCATGTGGTATGTCTGGGTAATGACTGTTGTGCTCAAAGGTTAACCATTCCAAACATGGCGTCCTCTTGTCCCTGGGATTTTTGACAGGCAGATGCAGAAAGACACCATCCTCTTTGGCACACCTCTTGTCATCTTCAGATGCTTGCAAAGCCGTAGTATGAACTGTAGCACCATGGAGTTTCAGAAACTTCGCCACCTGACGGTTCTTGGTAGAGTTACCTCCATGGGACGTGCCATACTTATCGTTAACCAACAGAATAGACATGGCCTCTGCAATTCAAAAAGAAAAGATGCAATGTCGAGTTATGACGGGTAAAATGTAGGCGCCATGAAACGATACTTGCTTGAATGTACTGTTGATCAAAGATGACTACTGCTTCAAAGATTTCTCTCATTAGCTGAAAACCTAGTTGGGTTACCTAATCGTATGAATGCAATTATTGAATAAATAATTGTTGAAAAACAATATTTCTGGACGAAACATTCTCTGCACATGTTTATTTGTACATATTTAGAATGTGGTACAAAATTATCATGTTATATCTTACCTTTCTTATGTTGTATCTGGGACACCTTGACCACAGTGCCTTCCTTCTGCTGAATCTGACTTGTCTTCCCCTCATCTGCAATGGGCATACGATAAGAAAAAAAATGTTTACAGCTTGAATAAAGGACAACTCATGGTTAGTGGGGTGCACAAAGGAGATCAACTTTCTTTTCTCTGTATCATATTTTTCATTATCATATACAAATAACCAGTACAGGAAAATAATAAGCCAATGATCTACCTTAAAGTGGAAAACGTTAGTTAACTACACCTTTCTTTGGTTTTCTGTAGAGACCAATTACTACATTTGCAAATAGTTTTAACTTGGCTCAAAGGCATACAATTACAACAAAGAACAGTAAAGCGACAAGCTCCTTTTTCTACATCATCTATAATGTGCATTTCTTACTTGTGAAAACATCTAATAATGAATTTCTCACCTTCTTTCTGCAGTTTTGGTGTCTGTTGACTTTGCATCGGCATCTCGTCCTTCGGTGGTTTCACCTGCTGCGTCAGTTTCCTTGTCATTTTTTGTGCTTTTTCTGCATCTTATATGAAGAGAAAGTCAGTGAGATATCACTGCCCCTTCGTCTCTTTTTGTGTCTTTCTAGAGAGAGATCTTTAGCAATACGTAGATGATGACGCGTGAAAAGGATATATAGGTGCAAATTCTCTTGTTTTGTGCATACATTTTAGATTAATGAATAAAACCTTATGCTTTTAATTTAAAAAAAACATAAAAGTTTTTAACCGTTGTTGTCCTGGCTGTGTGTGTTAACATTTTTGCCCTGTACATCTGTATACTAGTATTATGTATAATGATAGTATATATAGAATACAACACGGGGTATTCCGTATCGCCCGAGGTATCGGCCCGACCGCGGGTCGGATCGCCCGACAGCCGCAGGTCGGAGGGCGATCCGACTCGCGGGAGGGCCGGGACCGAGGGCGATGCGGAATACACCGTGTTGTATTTTATTTATGTCGTACCCACCCAAGAAAATACGCCTTTCAATGTAAGATGAGCCAAAAGTTGGTGCCACTGAACCCTAAACTGCAACAACATCAATTCCAACGTCCGGATTCTGTATTCGAATTTTCAAAAGGGGCGCACGCGGTTAGGGCGAAATGCGTTCGAATCGTTTTATGGAAGCCATGGAAGCGTTCGATAACGGGTTCCGGATCGGGCCGTACCGTAAAGTACGGCCCGGTCCGGAACCTGTTATCGAACGTTAACGGGTTCCGGATCGGGCCGTACCGTAAAGTACGGCCCGGTCCGGAACCTGTTATCGAACGTTATCGCGGCCCGGGTATGATATAAATATTGATTAGTGGGGTCGTGTGGCGTAGCGGCAGAGTGCGCGACTCGGAACTTTGAGTCCCGAGTTCGAGTCCTGACATGCCACCGATCTTGTGCCCTTGGGAAAGGCACTTTAGACGGCTTTCCTCACTTAGCTCAGGTGTAAATAAGTATTGTCCTGTCATGTATTTGTCCCCTGTGTTGGTGGCGGCACTAATATAAGTTGAAAAAACTTGAGTGTGTCGTCACCACGTCTGGTGATTACATGTTGGAATAAAAAATAAATAAAAAATATTGATATATGTAAAAGTGATGTTGGATACCTGTAGACTTTCTCCTGACTGCTCCTTGTGCTCCTGACGATGTCCGGGTGCGTGGTTTGTCCCGTTCTTGTTGTTCTGCCAGGCGTTCTGCCATGGTTTCCTTGAATTCGTCTGGCTCCTCTGTAAGCAATACATGATGTATACCGTATGATTCGTTGTTACAGCTGAGACCCTTTGGCAATTCCATCTTAAACAAACATGGTATTCATGTTGTTGTTTTGTGATATACTGTTTCTAGATGCAAATTATAATAATAATAATAATAATGATGATGGTTTATTTACTTCATAATCACACACTCCACTTTGCAGCCATTGCTGAAATACATGGACTGTTAACAATATTTCTAACTACGACATCATATCAACATAAGTAAGTAAAATATTAAGATTAAAATGGTGGGTTGGTGTCGAAATCGGTTTAAAACATTGCATAAATCTAAATTCGTTGATAAAATTTGCGTAAGTACTAGAGTAGATTAAAAGCGTTACATAGATCTATATAAGTACAAAACATTAGGCGTTGAATAGTGGATGTGTTATTAGATAAAAGCACGTACATTACGTATCATTGCATGACACACGTATTTTGGGCCCAAACTCTCTAAGTAGCAAGGTTTATAATGTCGCAACAGGTGATAGATATTAACATGTTTCCGGACCTTTTGCCTTCCGCCAAGTCTTGGTCTTCACGCTGGGTGAAATCTCGATGCCGTCTGTTATCGGTTCATTCTCCACAGCCTTCTCTCCCGTCAGCCTCCTGACGACACACGTCTTCCCGGATCTGAACTGACCAACCACGAGCCCGCGCACGCTGTGCACCGGTCGCGCTCCCTGGCGGCAGGCCTGGGAGTACAGCTGCTGCATTCCAGGACCCCGCAGCTGTATTTCGAGTGGAACACTGCTGTCTCCTGGATGAGAAGATTTATACATTTCATCAGACATCGGTTATAATATCATTTTGCTTCTCGTACTCTTACGTAAAGCCGACGTCTGATTAGATAGATAGAATGATCTACTGAGTCAAGTATTTGTATTTCACAGCTAAAATAGCAGTGTTACAAAGAAAAAATTATTCTTCTTTTAACTTCCCAAAACCCACTAATTTTGGAAAAGGTGGGACATTACGTCTTACATCGTCTAAAAAAGAAAAGTCAAACCCCTTAGACATAGTTTTAGACATAGATATAGCTTTAGACAACTACCTTTTATCATGTAGATATATTTTATACTCTGTTTCATTGTTCTTTTATGTTTGTAATTTGCAATTAGCCTACGGGCACGAATTTGCAATAAACTTATTGTTATACCTTCTTTTGTCGACATCCCTAAGTCTTCATGATGTCCCGTGTTGTTCTCAGCCCCCATGTCGTCTGTGGGGAGGCTCTGCTTACTGCCGCTCTTAAACCTACGATAGTTGCCGATGAAGTTCTGAAAAATCATTACATATGACATTACTCTAGGAGGCATGATACAAGGAAACGATGAATCATACTTAATTTGAGGCACGGAGTACGATTTCATATGGTTTACCAGGATGAAACAATGAAAAGATGAATTACGATTAATTTGAGGCACAGAGTTCGATTTCATAAGGCCAGCACTCTTACTACAGAAAATAACGCACGATTTACACCAACAAAAGCTAAAGCTCCTACTCTCAATCAGCACAAAACGTTTTAGCCTTTAGTGAGATAAGATACAACTGATTAAGATCAAGAGATCAACCAGTCATCACAAAGTCACACCTTCACTTGGTCTACAGTTTTCCCGCTCTGCTTAGCTGCTTCTTCTATCAACGGACAATCCTTCTTCGCCACTGACATTCCTCTTTCTTCATAGAACCGGACGAGTACAGGATCGTAGCCTTTCTTACGTGTGGAGACTTCCTGTAAACACGCACACGTGAAAGTGAGTTTTGTTTGGTATGAGGGCGGTTCTACAATTCTTTCTGAAACACTTCTAGTCATTGTAGTAGGTGAAATTTAGACATGTAAATTTATTCATATACATGTCTTTATAGATAGTCACATGCCTTCCAACTTCGCTTATAGGTAAATGTTTCTACGCAATTCTTATGATAGTCATAGAATGCACCTCTCTCCAGCCTGCTAAGCAGAATACAAAAATTCAAATACTAGCATGCGTACCAGGGGAACTAAAAAAAAAACAAACAACTTTATAATATCATCTTCAACTTGTAGTTTAATAATATCAGCAGTTGTTTGTAAACCGAAGTGTTTGACAAGAAAGTTACAGTCATCTAAGTCATATTATTTAGATGCTTTGTGATTTTGCATCGCGCAAGCTTTGAAACGACTCACATTATCCTGTTGTCGGAGAAGCTTCAGTATTTCATTTCTACCACGTGTAATTCGGTCTTTCTCCGCCTGACTAGTGTAACTGGGCATAGTGTACTCAACTGCAGCGATGTCCTCCGCCGTTCGTCCATTCTAGGAATGAAAATGCTCACGAATGTTGAAATATCGCAAATAAACAGGGCAATATGTATTAAGCATCTAAAACACATACAGTAGGTACAGCAGCAAATCTCATGTCTAGAAAGAAATTGGTTTGTACTATCGTAGGTGTTTATGTGATACGACGCAGGAATATCGTGGTTTGTGTGTTTATTCCAACAACAGCTTCCTCCTTGCCTCGGATAGTAATGTATGTATTTAAGTGAATCATCATTTAAAAAAGGCTTACTTTTGATTTATCTCCCAAAAGAAGTAAAGCCAATATTGTACTTCTGGATTACTGGTCAGTTATTCACCAAAGAAGCCAAAGAACCGACTGACCTTGTTCCTGAGACCGGCATCAGCCCCGTGCTGCAGCAGTATTTCCGCACACTTGGGGCGGCCCAGTGTAGCTGCGTCATGGAGGGGTGTGTTCTCCTGTTGGGGCATTGACAGTGCAATTTTTCATCCTTAGTATAATCAAATAGCAACACCTTATGAATGTTTATATTTACATCACTTACTGACTCCAAGCTCGCTTGAAACCAGTCCCTAACTTTGCCATTCATACTGGTTGTTTCTAATAATGGATAATAACGGTAACACTACAATTTTAATCTCGTCCTGCTGACATTTTTTGGACAATATTTTTCAATTTCGTGTCTTAATCAGGTCATCGACCCCTGGCCTTTTTTGCATTGTGATGGCGTAGTTAATTCGGCATTCGTTGCGTTTCGCTGTGGTGTGATGCGTTGCACGAAAATAGCCCCAAATTGTACATATACAGGGCACCATATGCATGATAATGTATGTTCAACCCATGCTTTATGACACCGAAAATGTACAATGTATTCCGACGGTTGATAAGCAGTGCTGTATAGCCTCATGCGTTCCAATCCGTTCTAGTTTCATGTTGGCAACAAGATAAATTGTAGACAGCAAATAAACCACTAAGTAAGAAGATTGAGAAGATGAATGTCAAATCTTACAAGATGATACAGAAATATTTCTTGTATCACAGCAATCAGTCTACCTACCTCATAGTCCCGTGCGTTCACATCTGCACCAGCTGTCAGTAAAACTGATACAGTTTCATGGTGGCCGTTCCCGGCTGCCCGGTGCAGGGGCGTGATTTGCTGTAAAACACATAAAATAGTCTTCAGTATTGCAACATAACGGACAAATATTCACTTTGTATATTGTTGTGTGTTGGTGATATTTTTGTGTTGATGATATTTTAAACAGCAAATGCTATATAAAAAATGATTGTCAATCGTATAAAATGACACAAAAATATTTCTTGTATCACAGCGATAAGTCTACCTACCCACTCGTTCCGTGCGTTCACATCTGCACCAGCTGTCAGTAAAACTGATACAGTTTCATGGTGGCCATTCAGGGCTGCCTTGTGCAGGGGAGAGTCTTGCTGTAAAATACATCAGATGGACTTCGGCATGACAACAGGACGAACGAATGTGCAGTTATTTTGTTGACAATTCTAACGGAATTCAGCAAGTAAACTACTATACAGCTGAAGATAGATGTCAAATCCCATAAAAGATATAAAAATGTTTCTGCGTCACAGCTGTCAGTCTACCTACCCTATCGCCCCGTGCGTCCACATCTGCACCAGCTGTCAGTAAAACTGATACAGTTTCATGGTGACAATACAGGGCTGCCAGGTGCAGGGGAGAGTTTTGCTGTAAAACAAACAGATGGTCTTCAGCATTACAACAGGTCGGACGAATGTGCAGTTATTTTGTTGACAATTCTAACGGAGTTCAGCAAGTAAACCGCTATACAGCTGATATTAAATGGTCTTAAGCACGACAACAGGACGGACAAATGTTCATGTCGGTGGCAGCTCTAAAGGCAGTCATCACATCAGCCGTTATGTAAACATGAATGTCAAATCTTACAAAATGGTACAAAAATATTTCTTGTATCACAATACTTAGTCTACCTACATAATCGTCCCGTGCGTTCACATCTGCACCAGCTGTCAGTAAAGCTGACACAGTTTCAGGGTGACCTTTCAGGGCTGCCCAGTGCAGAGGAGTCCGTTGCTGTAAAACACATCATGGCGGGCTGAAGTAAACTAGTAGAAGTAAAATTGGAGCTGCTGAATCTACTGGTGCAAATGTGGAAAATTCCAAGTATTGTTTTGTTTTGTGAAATGTTACGGATATGGTACAGACAAGCTGAAAGCTAAAGACGGGTGCAGCGACCAGAGCGGCCTTGCCCTTCCCATCTGTGTCTTTTATAAGCGGTTTGCCCCTCCTGCCTCTTGATTTTCATTGCACATCCTTAAATGCTTCATCACCATATATACGCAAAATGACGAAAGACATGGCAACAAACCCAATAGCCGCCAGTAGCATTAGGGTTGACTCCATCCGCTAACAGCTGCTTCACTCTGTCCGTGTCTCCTTCCCGTGCAGCCTCCCACAGCGCCTATAGCGGCGGCAGACAGGAACAGGAGAAACAACTGTCAACACTCAATCAATCAAAACAACACTCAGCATGTGAGAAGAATAACACCTATCCCTTCATTTATCCGTCATACTGATATTTCACTTCCTTTCATGTCTCTCAGTGTAAAGTTATAAAAAGATATATCATTTATCTCCTGTATTTGTGCATAGCTCACGTGTGTTTATTGTTTATTTCAGACTCAACGGCACATAGTATACAGACACATAACATGACACAAACACATGTGAAAAAAAAACATTCAAATTATGTACAGATAAATGTAAAAGAAAAGACTATCGAGCTGTCCTGTCGCAAGGAGGTTAGTGGACCATCTACATCAGGCTACAGAAAAAGGCCTGCTATAGATATACACCACCATATGCACTGTGGGGTTTGTCTGTGTGTAAAATCACTACTCTTTTTATAACGTATTCTTTTACTCTACCTCCTCGTCTTCCTTCCTTTTCTTCCAACTCGACTCTTTAGACCCGGAATCCTCTGACCCGGACTCCTTTTTCTCCTCCATTGTCTCCTGTTCTCTTCCGTCCATGCCTGGTCTGACCCTACAGATAGATACACACCACCTGTCTAATGACAGGCTGTCGTAACTAAGACTAGATGGATCTAGTGCTTTCCTGTAACGCAAACACAGACTCACAAATATATCATTTCTCTTCCTAAACAATATTATGGTAGTGGGACAGCTAGACCGAGCATCATGTACAGTTCGCTCACGACATACCTGATTTACAAATTATAAAGCGTTTCTGAACACTGTAGATCAAACTGTACCAACAAAGGAGCGATCATTTCAAAGCCATACAGACATAGCGTCAATACTTTCTAATTCATTAAACATGAACAGTTTATCTATGTGCTAAAGGGCTGTGGTATAAGTTTCTTTAGTTTGTGTACTTCAGGCGCTGCTACATCTAGCAGGTGCGCCGTTATGCACCTGTTACTTCCGGGTTTACCTGAACTTTTCCAGAAGTGTCTTGGGAGAGTCTGGCAACCTTTTCCCAGTCTTTAAGGTCTCTGCAGGACTCTTAGACTCTCCAGGACCCGAAGGCTGTTAGTTCTGACGTCACAAGACGTACAGGTGAGTTCTCACAGCGAGTTCACACCCTAACCGTTGTCTACCTAGCTAAGGAGTCCCCTCTCTTCAAGCAGGCCACCTGTCCATGGTGACCACTTTTTCTCGGTCCCCAAAATTTTCCCCAATGACACAAGTATTAAGCAACCTGTCCAAGGTGACCACCTGGCCAACGCGACCGGACCATCCTGAGTTGGGTCCACTCAAGGCCTGATACCTGCCCATGGTGACCACATCATTTTCGTTCATGTTGACTATTGATGATAGCTAATGAAAAATCATGGAGAAACCAGCCAGTTTGCCTTGATTACTGGATGATGTTTTAGTTCGATGTAAATCGTTCCATGTGCCAATCTCCACAAATGCATTTACAGCATTTGACATTAAAACATCTTGACTTGGAAACCATTTATGCCTCAGTCATGTTGTGAGGCGACCTTCTTCAAGCAGACCACCAGTCCAAGGCTGCCACTTTTTTTTTGGTCCCCTGGGTGGCCGGCTTGGACAGGTTTGACTGTACACCGAATAATAAGAGCGCGCGGCAGTTTCGCCAGTACATGCCTTATTCACAATCATGACCTCTAAATCGTTTCTAAATACTGTAGATCAAACTGTGCCAACAAAGGAGCGAAAATATCCATTTAGTTACCATCATAGTCATCAACACATAGCGTCAATACTTTCTAATTAATAAATAAACAACAACAGTCGATCTGTGTGGTAGAAAGATATGCTATTATGCACAAATGTCTGTCTTTGTAGTCCATACCTTGCTAATGTTGATAAGGGCGGCACCTCACAATCTTGTTTTGACGTGGGTCAGAGTGCACCTTGCCCTCAGTTTACCAACCTCGATTCGTTTGTACAAACCAACAATGATTAACACATCACGCGGACGTGCCGAGGGGGCGGTGTGACCTTAGGTCATTACACTGTGAGGTGCCTGCTACAAATAATCTATCCATAGTGGTCAGTGATGAGATGGCGAATCTAAGCAATTTTACAATTTTTCCAAACACAATGTAGTATGAAAACTATGGAATGATTGTAGTCTATGCAGTTTAAACTTTTCAACTGCTCTGCGAATATGTATGTTAATCAGAAGTCGTAAACTCTCTCCATTGTTTGTAACGATAACCAGTACTAGTAAAACATCGGTTTGTAACTTTGTTACTTTCCTAATCAACTAAATTACTTTTCAAAAATCAATGTTTCATTTGTCATGTCTCAAACCGTAAAGTTGCAGACATTTCTGAAAAGTACTGTAGTTTCTGTCATTTGACAAAAAATGGCGGCATGGCTGTGGTCACGTATACAACATTCCTTACCTGCGGTGTAAACTCTAACAGACGTGAAGCGTGTTTGAAAACTCACCTGAGTGAAGTAACCTGAAGACTCGTACCTTTAGATGGTGCAAGAAACAAGCCTGGTTATATAAAACAGGCTCAGTTGTCTCAGGTGTCACTGGTCTGCTGACGAGTGAAGTACCAGACTAGTCAATATGGCGGCTGGTCGGGTGTTGAACTTTGATCACCTGCCGACCGTTAGATCGGTGGTGTGACGCAGTTTGTTTTTACTAACACTGAACATCAAAGGTGGTACCGAAAATACTCATAATTTGTCAGTTGGCTCAATTAAATGATAGGACATCCCCAGACGTTTGGGTTTTGCGTTTGTTCGCATATAATGATCAGAAAGTACTTCTAAGGGCTTCATATTACTTCTTTACGTGCGCTTTCTGTCTCATAATCTCAGTCTAGCTTATCTAACTTTACGTGAATAACCAGTTACCAACTCGAAATATTTAGGAAGCATTTTTCCTTAAAGTGCTACAGCTCTAGGATTCTGCCTTTTACTTCGCCGAAGACACACAAGGTTTAATAACCCCCCTGTATAACAATGGGCTGATCCAAGTGACGTCAGAAGATTGATTTTTCCTTCCTACAGTCTAGCCATGCTAGGCGCTGTTTTTGGCTCCAGAAGTTTTAATAGCCCAATACAAACGCAGGGTCAGGTACATACACGCCCAAGTAACGGTGCCAACTTGACTGCCTTCCGTCTTGGCAGTTCTTGAGTCAAGCAGGCGGAAAGTCGCTGCTGGGTTATAAGGAGCGGGAGAAGGAGTGCGAATGAAAAAAACGGGTCTGTTTTGAAGAGTTTCCCAGCCTTGTGTGATTGGAAAGCTGAGTTTGCAGCAGGTTTTTGTTGTGAACAGGATTCTTTGTAAGCGTTCAGTGGTTGTAGGGAAGGACTGGATTGTTTTAAGCAAAGAGTTTTCTGCGCGAGTTGAGAAGTCGTGTTGGCAGCGTTCCGGCTTTAGAAGGTGTCTTCAGAGTACTCCAGTCTCGAGAAGACCTTGGCAGGGGCGGCGGCAGGGTAGCCTCTACCTGGCACCGCGGATCGCTGGAAAAATAGTAGAAATTTGCCGAAATAAAGGGATATTATACCAGGGAAGATCCGGCCAGAGTTAAGATGCAAATCAGTGGGTCGCGCATTGGATCTTCACTCCTGCCGGATCTTCTCTAGTATACCTTGTACCTTGGTCCATTCTCTAACTAGTATACCTTGTACCTTGGTCCCTTAACCCAGGCTAGGGTCGTGGGAGCACTGCATGGTGGAGTGTCTGTCCATGTGTCTCCATCCCTCTCGGCTGTGAGCTAGGGTTAGGGTTTCCGCAGGCTTCCGGCGGGCTTGCCCCTAAGTACTTAAACTTTTTTACAGTCTCTATTTCTTGTCCTTGGACCATGATTTTTGTTCTAATAGGTGTGCTCTTGTTTATCGTGATCTTTGTTTTTTCACAACTTATTTCCATTCCATACTTAGTGGTTGTTGTGTCCAAGTTTTTTAATTTTATTTTACAAGCCTCGAGAGTTCTTTTTCTGACCCTGCCAATCCATCAATGTCATCCGCGAATCTCAGGTTAAAAACGATGCGTCCCCCAATGCTAACCGAGCATGTGTGGTTCTCTAGTGCATCCGTCATTATGCGCTCGATAAAGATATTGAATAATGTAGATGACAGGAGGTACCCTTGCCGAACACCAAATGAACTCCCCCACTGTGTCTCGTACTATTACTGCACTGCTGGCCGTTTCATACAACTCTTTAATGGTTTGGATAAGCTTTTTTTCCCATGTTGTATTTCTTCATTGTAGCCCAAAGCGCATCATGCCAGACTCTATCAAATGCTTTTTTTAAATCAATGAAAACGTGATAGATGTATTGTTGGTGTTGAGTGTACTTTTCACGCAGTACTCCGAGGTTAAATATTTGTTCAGTGGTACTTCGTCCGTGCCGAAACCCAGCTTGTTCCTCTGCTATTAACTTCTTCTGCTTGGGGTTTAGGTCTGTTCAGGAGAACTTTTAAAATCGCTCGCATGACTTATGAGGCTTATGGTCCTGTAGTTCTTACATTCCTGTAGATTACCTCTCTTAGGGAGCGTTATTATCAAGGATTGTGTCCATGTTGTCCCCGTTTGCCAAATCCTATTACAGATTCTTGTGAATGTTTCAAAAGTTCAGCTGGTATGTTGTCCACTCCTGGGGCTTTACCATTTTTTAGTGTTTCAGTGCCACTTCCACTTCCTCACTTCATCATCATCTCTAGTATACTATCCCTTTATTTCGGCCAATTTCTACTATTTTTCCAGCGATCCGCGGTGCCTGGTAGAGGCTAGCCGATCACATGAAAAATGCAGAGGCTGCTGGCTTGGAAGGCCAGCGCTCGGGAAATACATACAAGTTTTATTTGTGTTGAACAAAATATAATTTTCCTTACCAAAATGTTCACAAATCCCAACCAGTTTCTGAAGGGATTTAACACCGGGGCATATCAAACACGTGCACAGATCATCGGCGCACGATCACAAGCCTTGGAGGCGTCCATAAAACACACAAATACAAATACGGGGATCCCAGTCCCTTGTAATATTCAATGATTCCTTTAGAGTAAAAACACACATATCAATACCATGCAATATATAGTCGATATCTTACTTGTGTGGAGCTAAGATATATAAAAGGGAAATAAGGACAACATATCCAATATCAATTGTAAAACCATTATTTTCTCAAGCTTGTAAAACAAAACAACAGAAAGCCGTAAAAATCACATTGGGAATACTTGGGACACTAATTATTTATTGCTGAATTTACAGCAAAGTTTTTCTGAAGTTATAACTCATTTACAAACCACTCCTTTGCAAATTACATTATAAAGGACTTCGATGAGTGATAAAAATACAACAACAGGTAAAGGGAAGGGTACCCCTTCAATTTACGAAATGCCAGCAGGCAAACAGAAAAACACACTCTATAACATCAACATGTAACAAAAACTAAACTTAATCAATCACAATATCAAGGATACAAATCAGTGCTTATAGTAATTAAAAACGTGTACATCAGATTCTCATCTTCTAGATTTTCTTCAGTACTGTAAATATCTTCATTCATAACTCGCCATGCTTATATGTACATTAAATGACTTTCCGTTTGATACAGGTTTTATACAGAATTGAATTTAAACGACAATGAAAATTTTGGCCATTTCAAGTCCCTACTGACATCAGACTACATGTACAAAAAATAGCCCACGACCAACTTGCTATATATGTACGTTGCCCTAATTGCAACGTAGATGATAGAAAGGCCTGTATAGAGACAATAGACAGTGTCAATGTAAATGAGCTTATCTTTGAAATTGTACATGGCCACTGATAGATAGGGTCACTGCCAAGTCTTGCTTTGCTTTGAAATATAAACACAGTAATGATGACATTAACTATGTGATCAGTTATTAGGAATTTGACACGTGGGTGAAAGGGCGCGATCTAGACTCAGTCCGTCAATCCACAGACCCGCAGCAGGTTTTGGTGCGATTCTTCCCAGTACTTCGACTCCAACAGCTTCTTCTTGTACTCTGCTGCTTTGTCGAATTCTGCCTCAGAGTATTCCAAGGTATCTGCGATCCTTTCTGCCCATTTTCTTGCATCCTCAGCCAGGTCGGACTCCCTCACGCTGGTTTTCACGATCCTGTGCCTCATTTCTGCAGGGCATTTCTTCTTCTTGATCAAGTCCTTGATCATGTCTGCCAACCCCGACTTGTCAGAGATGAGTACAGGGATGCCTGCTACGATGGCCTGTAGACCGATCAGTCCAAACGGCTCGGCACGGGACGGCATCAGGACCAGGTGGGCCTGCTGCATGTCCTGAGCGATGTCCTCCTGAGTTCCACATGGCAGCAGCGTTGGTTTGATATTACCACTGTGCAGGTTCTTCCCCAGGATTCTCTTGCTCGCTTCCCAGTCATCTTCATCTATCCCACGAACACACAATCTGACGTTTGTGATCTTCTCTGTAACCTCCCCCATGGCACGTGCTACCAGGTCATGGCCCTTTAGCTTGTCCACTTCCGTCACTCTCCCGACAGTCAGCACGACTTTCTCCCCTCCTCCTGGTCTAACAGAGATGGCTTCAAACACTGGAGATGGTCTTGGGAGAAACAAAAAGTGTTGTCCTGGTTTGCTTTCTCCAAGTGACCTGTACTTCGTCTCGAAGTAGTCGTAGATCCTTCTTCCCAATGAGAACACGGCATCTGCATTCTTTGCATCCTTGAGGATGTCTTCCATCTTCCTCCCCGCAGCCAACGCTTTCTTAGTCCCCATGTAGTGCTCTGTCTCTTCTGGCATGTCGTGGTTGAAAAGGACCAATTTTGCGTGTTGACAGCGTTTCTCATGTATGCTCTTTGCAGCTCCACTAGTGACATCTACATGGCCCACAATGCACTTCAGATCCTGTGGTATATCTGGGTAGTGGAAGCTTTGGTAGTGGGTCAACCATTCCAAAGAAGGTGTCCTCTTGTCTCTGGGGTCTTGAACAGGCAGATGCAGAATGACACCATCGTCTATGGCACACCGCTTGTCTTCTTCAGATGCTTGCACAGCTGTAGCATGAACTGTAGCACCATGGAGTTTTAGAAACTGCGCCACCTGACGGTTTGTGGTAGAGTTACCTCCATGGGACGTGCCGTACTCATCGTTAACCATCAGAACAGACGTGAACTCTGCAATTCAAGCATAACGTATGCGTGTCATGACAAATTAGTCAATCATCAGTTACTTTAAATCCATCGCATTTAGAATAGGCGGTACAATTGGAAAGCATTGAAATATTATCGGAATACTGTGTAACGCAGCTGCTACATGTACCTGCAGCTGGTGCCAATTGTATCATGTTGCCAACACAATTCTAATCTAGAAACCGAATCTAGAAACCGAATATCTGAAGAAGCATATCTCCCAATTCGGGCTTCAAGCAAGAATAATTCTTTTTATCCCACCTTCCTTTAAGGAATTGCTTCGATTTTGGCAACTGGATTCTATTAAAGATCACATGTCCAGAAAAAAAACTTTTAGTTATTTCTTTTACATCACTAGTAAATTCATACGTACCTTGCTGTGTCGATTGACCCCTGTCACTGGGCTGGCCTCCGTGCCACGTTTGAGACTTTGTAGATCCACCTGTGATCAAAGTATGATATTAAGCAATAGAGCCAGGAGTATCATCTTTCACTTTCAAATGCAAACTTGTTTCAACAAGCTATCTTTTAACATCTATCCAAAACAGCAAAGTCTATCTAGTAATTGTCGTTTGCTGTTTCCCAAGACAGAGAAGCGCTTGGATTCTGGCACACAATCATGGCGGTACCTTTCTTTGGTTTTATTTCGAACGCCTCGCTCATGGAGATTCCGGCCCCATCTCTTTGCTGATCCATGGTAGCCTCATCTGCCAATCAACAAGAAGTCGAGTCAGTGTAAAAGGTTTTAGGTCAAATGCAATTCATACTTGATTGACTGAATGTTGCAGTTAACAACTTTCTTGTTCCTATCTGTTTTACTACAAGGAATGGGCATATTTACCAAGAGTAGGGGGTCCATATAGTAGGAATTAAACGAATTCTATTTCATGACCTTACTTGTTACTTCGAAATCAATCAATATACTGATAATTGTTCTAGATTATACATAATACATAACAAGGATATTTTTATCATCGTCGAATAAAGAAAATGATTGGGCAATGATCTACCTTCGTAGATAAGGTACACTTTTGCTGATGGGATACGGCGCCTGAGGTCAGTTATTTGTACTCCAGACTCAGAAAGTCGTCTGAAATGGACAGCTCCTTGGTACATCTTTTTGGTTTGGCTCGGGTTGTTCAGAATCAGTCCAACGGACCACCTGTTGCAGTCAGCTGGTGGGAAGAAGAAGCTGATACCATCTGAAACATCAAGAGGGTCTCCGATGACTTCTTTCCTGTCGTCAAACGTGGCATCTATCATTTCTTCCCTGCCCATGACGATGCGTTGTTGAAACGGCGGAAGGGGCAACATATTGGCAGCTCGGAAAAAGTCTGTGGGGTCGTCGTCCTTGTGAACACACATGAGGTGGATGCAGTTGTTGTCTGTTGTTGCCTCGTTTGGGTTTACTATGAGGTACACTTTGTCTTCAGTGTACCTGTTCCAACACGCCAAGAATGCTTCAGTTGCGACTGTAGTTGAGAATGCTGATGTTACATTTGGCTCTCTTGATATACTTTCATCCGCCTTCTGATTGCCAACCTGGTTTCCTGTTTCTTTTGGGATGCTGTCATTGTCTGTGTCCTTATTGGCTGCCTCAACCTGGTTTCCTGTTTCTTTTGGGATTGTTTCATTTTCTGTTTCCTGATTGGCTGCCTCATCCTGGTTTCCTGTTTCTTTTGGGATGCTGTCATTTTCTGTGTCCTTATTGGCTGCCTCAACCTGGTTTCCTGTTTCTCTTGAGATGCTGTCATTTTCTGTGTCCTTATTGGCTGCCTCAACCTGGTTTCCTGTTTCTTTTGGGATTGTTTCATTTTCTGTTTCCTGATTGGCTGCCTCATCATGGTTTCCTGTTTCTTTTGGGATGTTGTCATTTTCTGTGTCCTTATTGGCTGCCTCAACCTGGTTTCCTGTTTCTTTTGGGATTGTTTCATTTTCTGTTTCCTGATTGGCTGTCCCATCCTGGTTTCCTGTTTCTCTTAGGATGCTTTCATTGTCTGTTTCCTGATTGGCTGTCCCATCCTGGTTACCTGTTTCTCTTGGGATGCTTTCATTTTCTGTTTCCTGATTGGCTGCCTCATCATGGTTTTCTGGGGTCGAACTTTCGCCGCCATTGCCACTTTCCTTGGCACCGGCCATCCTAGAAAATTAAGCAAAACTTAAACACTGAAGAAATAACATTCTTGTATATATATTTATGCTTTGTTACTAGTTACTTAAAAAGTGTGACATAAGCCCGGTGCATTACCCGCAGAAGTGTCTTGTTGTGAAGGTGATTGCGTCCTCGGTCTCGTGAAACTGTGCCCTCAACAACGACCACTGGGGAAGATGTGGTCTCCTCTCCATCAGAACGGTCTTATCTGTGCTGCAGTCGCTCTTCTTCCATGCCCACGGCAGGGTGACTCTCACGGGCTCTAAGAAGTCCTCCTCCTTTTCCTGGTGCACGGTCAGTATCGGTGTCACAGCTGAGAAAGCCTTTGTCAAGGCGTCATCAATGGGCAGCATTTCGACCTGTAAGATTACAATGAAAGTGGAAGTGGAGAAATAGATCCTTGGTGGATTTGGGGTGAAAGTTCATGTTTCACGGCTGCTCTTCAATAATGAGGAAAACGAATCGCCCGGCTATGTGGACACATGTCGTAGCAAAAACAGAAGCTGCATAATTGTCTCTAAGATACAGATAGGCTGGCATGTGACACAAACTGCAAAGCAAAGAAAGTAGATATGACTTTACCTCCAAGGACAGGGACCTCCCCGTCTTGACGCATCCTTTTGGAAAGAAGATGGTGACACCATCCTCCTCAATCGTGCAACCTTCTTCTGTAATTCTGTACGTGTTCAGCACAACAGAAGACGACACCTGTAGAAACAAATTTGGATTATTTACAACGACGAAAAGAAATTCAACGCGCCTGTCTCGGTCCACGAGAAGATCTGATTACAAAGTATAGTAATGAACATTGCCTTGTATCAACGCACCTTCCTCAGGATGTCTGCTGAAACGAGACCAATTTTGGTTCTGGACAGTGGTTCTTCAGTCATTGGTACTTCTGTTGATGCCATATCCAACATCCCCGCACAGCGCCTGCCGAGCACCTCTACCAAACGCTCTCTGGTTCCTTCAGGGTAGGCGAAGACCGGAAAGACCAGGTTCTTGTTCTGTACACAGAATTCGTACCCGAGCGTGGACCAGTGTCTGCTGTGGAGAGTCTGGGGTGTGATGATCGGTACGACCATCCTGACGTTCCGTTGGAGAAGATGATACAAGAGTTTGTCTGTGATGATTTCTCCTGGTTCGATGACGTCTTCAGACACTGTTACACCGTACCTGCTGGTGTCGACTGCCTGTTTCAACAGTGGCTGGGTCAGCTTGTCATTGTAGTCACCGGTGTGTAGGAGAACAATTTCGTTCCCTGGGAATACGTGTGAACATTAATATTCTGAAGTATGAACAAAGTGTCAGAAAAACGAGCTGTTAAACAGGACAAAGCATCACATAAGGAGGAAGATAAATCAGAGGCTTCAAACTACAGCCAGGGAAGACGTACCTCTCTCTTCCCTGGGGAACATAGATGCTCTCTCAGGCAGACAAACTTCCACGGACGCTCCCAGCAAGCGACGGCACATGTCTCCGGACCTGTTGACAGTGGCAACCAACTCTTTGAACCTGCTGACGGATGTTAGCTCGTGTCTGATCCGATCACACTCCGCCAGACTCAGCCCTCTGCAGGTCTCCATACAGTCCAGGACAGGTCCGATCGTGTGGACTGCGTCTGGGTTCAGCGTGGGCTCTATCATCACGGGTCCGGAACCACCTGAGTTCTCTACATGTACAACATGTTTTCATCAGTAACAATTTAAAACACTACTTCATGAAGATGAGCTAGACAAAATCAGACATCTGAATGTTTTTACCTGTACAGGACGTTGTCGTATCACTTCTGCCACGTATCCAGACATTGATGAAGTCTTCTGGAAAACTGATATAAAAACTATCAGTCACACATGGCTTACTGACAGTGCAATGTTAAGGACATACAAGACAAGTGAACACCTTGTGTGTTTCCATAAAAAACTTGCAAGGAAAATGCTATGCTTATCAAATGAAATTGTTTGATTCACGGAAAAAAATGAAAATATAACTGGTCTCACCGACAAGATCCCGTTGCCGTTTCTTGTTCGATGTCAGACAGTGGGTAGAATACTGGTGTTCCGGTTTCTTTTTCTGACTCATCCCCAAAGCACCAGTCATACTGGATGGACGGGATCCACTTCTCCTTGATCTCAAAGAGACAACTGCTGAGGAACTTTCTAACAGGAAGGGCCTGTGTGAACACTGTCTGGTCTTCAGCTTCAGCCGACAGAAGCTCCACCTTAAGGTAATGCTTCACTTTGGTTACCACGAACTGTTGCTTCCCATCGTCAGTAGGGAAGCGGCCGCAGCCGGCGAACACGTGGGACTCTTGAAGACCGAACCTGCGCACACAAATGGCCTGTAGACGATAGAACATGCCACTTGGCAGGAACTTGTTGTCGAATACGACATACAGAGGATGCTGGTATCTCGTCATGTGCCCAGGATACAAGGTGATGTCGTTAGGCTTTGTGGCCAGGAGAGATGGTACGAAGTAGATCTCTTCTTTCTCAGGATCACCCGAAGTGTCATCAAACCCACCGATCGGCGTGGCGTTGCAGAGGAGGTAGTACTTTTCCATCAGTCGCTTCAGGAAGGGCTTGTGTTGGAGTAGGAAGGGTTTCTTCGTCTTCTGATCTGCTTTGGTCCAGATGATTGTCAACAGCCTGTCACTGAGGATGCCTTCCTTCTCCAGCCTCCTCCACATGTCGGCAACCTCCCCATCCGTGCTCCTGTCCTGTTGGTACTCCGGGACGGTGATGATGGTCTTGAAGACGTCAATCATCACCTGAGGTCGAAGGGCCACGTGATCACGGAGAACGGGTTCGTTGATGAAGATGATGTCACCAAGGTCATGTAGAAAGGTCAAAATGTCGGCAACATGGCTGTCGTCCGTGATGCCCACGTCATCACTCCGGGCCAGATCGACGACATCTTGGAAACGGCAGAATAGGTTGCCCTCTTTCCTCTTGTCCATCAGTTTGGACTTCAGATGAAGCCAAGCCATCGGCACCTCCTGACCCATGAACCACAGACCCTTCGCCACCTCACGGAGGTATTCTCGGAGCTCGTAAATGTCACTGTTGTCATCGTTGAAGTTGTCGATGACAAATATCTTAGGTAAGACGTGTTTACCGGCTGCCTTACCACTGATGTGATCACGTATGTCTTTCTTGTACTCCTCAATGTCTGACTGAAATCAAGAGCACAAATTCATCTTAAGGACCCAAAAGTACTGTTGATCAATCTGAGGCTGATCCTTTCAGCCAAGGATATTAACCTCGCGTTTAGGGCAAAGACAAGCTAGGATTTTTCGTAGACTTAAGAAAACATTCCTCATACCTCGCTGACCCTGTCCTTGTGCGTGAGGACCAAAACGACACGCGGCTCTCCTGTCTGTTCCCGCTCGTGCACCAGGGTGTGTGTGCGGACTGAGTTCAGCCAGTGGTCCATGTAGTCTGGGCAAGTAGAGATGTCGTATCATTTTTGTGTACGAAATTATATTTGAGTAATCATTTCAGCTTTACAACGTTACATATCTTGGGATTTAACTTTTTCTTTGTGATTCCCATGTTCAATCTTTGATGTCGACCACCTAGGTTCACAGTTAAAGAAGTATTATATAGTGGTACGTATACGTACCTCTCCCGGTTACGAGATTGTCCGCTGCCGCCTTGTAGTCCAGATCAGGAACAGGGTCGGACAGCTTCTGCAACAGTGACATGACCAGGATGTAGATCCCGCGGTACGTGAAGAAGCACTGGTGCGAGCCGTAGTACGTGGCCTGGCCGCCGAAGTCCCAGAGGGAGAGACGCGGGTGTTCGGCTGTTCCAAGCTGCTCCTCGGTCACGCCACCTTGGAGAAGCTCTTTGGCTTTTGTTATGACTTCATCCGGAATGTCTTGTGGTTGCTGTTGAGTTTGTCGAGACGTAGTCCTACTTGCACCGTCTCCAATACCTGCAACAAAAAAAAACATGCATGATCTTAACTGAAATCTAACGAGTGTACCGACTGAATTTAGCATTTCTTTTTGTGTTTTTACAGGGTCTTCTGCAGAAAGACAGAAAACCACATGAATGTACAGCCTTGGACATAAACCAACCTTTTCGGGCAATGTCTGCGTTTCTAATGTATAAATGTAGGTGATGGATAGAATCTTACTTTCATCCAGCCGTTTTGCGGTTTGTTGAGTATGTGTCGCCTTCCCTTTCAGTGGTGCTTTTTGCTGCTTTCTCAGAGTGCCCTTCCTTTTTTGTTCTCCTGCTTTTCCAGTGTCTGAAAAAGATGGAATCCGTGAGATTACTGTGTGTTTCTAGAGACGGAACTATACCAATAAAGAGGCGTCTAGATCAATGTAAATATTCTTATTGTACATCTATATCATCTATATCATCTATATCATCTATTGTACATCTATATGTAAAAGGATTATGGTTCTTCTTGTTTCTATACTGTCTGCATATGCCATGTTCATAGTTCTTTGGATACCTGTAGGGACTGCTCCTGTTCGTGACGATGTCCGGGTGCGTGGTTTGTCCCGTTCTTGTTGTTCCGCTAAGCGTTCTGCCATGATTTCCTTGAATTCGTCAGGCTCCTCTGTAGCAAAAGACGTAATCCATACAGTTTTAACCGTTGTTACAACTGACCCGTTGTTACAGTTTGTCAAATATGACAAAGATAAGAAACGCACAGAGTGACGTGTCATGCTGATTTTATATGGTTTTCAAGAACATGTGAAATGCCACAAAAGTGAGAATATATTTCTGCTTGACATGTGTTAAAGGGCCCAAATACCATATTACAATATCTAATTTTGTCACAAATGATGAATATAAAACCTTAGAATCTTATAGAATCATGAAACCTTTTGCTTTCCGCCAAGTCTTGGTCATCACGCTGGGTGAAATCTCAATGCCGTCTGTTATCGGTTCATTCTCCACAGCCTTCTCTCCCGTCAGCCTCCTGACGACACACGTCTTCCCGGATCTGAACTGACCAACCACGAGCCCGCGCACGCTGTGCACCGGTCGCGCCCCCTGGCGGCAGGCCTGGGAGTACAGCTGCTGCATTCCAGGACCCCGCAGCTGTATTTCGAGTGGAACACTGCTGTCTTCTGGATGAGAAGATTTATACATTTCATCAGACATCATTTATAATATCATGATATGATATCATATCATTTGCTTCTCGTGCACTTACGTAAAGCCGACGTCTGATTAGATAGATAGAATAATCTACTGAGTCAAGTATTTGTATTTCACAGCTAAAATAGTTATGTGTTATACCTTCTTTTGCCGACATCCCTAAGTCTTCACGATGTCCCGTGATGTTCTCAGCCCCCATGTCGTCTGTGGGGAGGCTCCTTTTACTGCCGCTCTTAAACCTACGATAGTTGCCGATGAAGTTCTGAAAAATCATTACAAATGACATTACCCGTAACCAGGATGATACAACGAAACGATGAGTGACAATTGAATTGAGGCACAGAGTACGATTTCATAAGGCCAACACTCTTGCTACAGAAAATAACGCACGAGCTACACCAACAATTCCAGCTAAAGCTCCTCATCTCTAGCAGCACAAAACGTTTTAGTCTTTAGGAAGAAGCAACTGATTAAGCTCAAGGGACCAACCAGTCATCACAAAGACACACCTTCACTTGGTCAACTGTTTTCCCGCTCTGCTTAGCTGCTTCTTCTATCAACGGACAGTCCTTCTTCACCTCGGTCATTCCTCTTTCTTCATAGAACCGGACGAGTACAGGATCGTAGCCTTTCTTACGTGTGGAGACTTCCTGTAAACATGCACACGTGAAAGTATGTTATGTTTGGTATGAGGGCGGTTCTACAGTTGTTTCTTAAACACTTCTAGTAATTGTTGTAGGATAAAATTGGACATGTATCATTAATACAATGTACATATCTCTATGGATAGATCACATGTCTTCCAACTGCACTCGTAGCTAAATGGTTCTACGCAATTCTGATGTTAGTCATAATGTATATCTCTTTAGCCTGCCAAGCAGAATACAGCAATTCAAATACTAGCCTGCGTACCACCAGGGGAACTAAAAAACAAACAACTTTATATCATCTTTAACTTGTATTGATATTATAAGCAGTTGTTTGTGAACCGAAGTGTTTGACAAGAAATTTAGTCATCTCAATCATATTCTTTAGATATAATGCTTTATGATTTTGTATCACGGAAGTTTTGAAGCGACTCACATTATCCTGTTGTCGGAGAAGCTTCAGTATTTCCTTTCTACCACGAGTGATTCGTTCTTCATCATCTTCGTTGCCCAGATAAGCTTTACTGGTGTTCTTATCTGCAGCGATGTCTTCCGCCGTTCGACCAACCTGGGAATGAACGTGCTGTCAATTATAGCCTTATGAATGTTGAAATATCGGAAATAAACACGACTGGATGAGAAGATAATATGTATTAAGCATCTAAAACATATACAGTAGGTACATCAGAAAAGCCCATGTCTAGAAAGAAATTGGTTTGTAAGTGTTTATGTGATACGATGCAGGAATATCAGAACACATCGTAATTTGTGTGTTTATTCCAACAACAGCTTCTCCTTGCCTTGGACAGTAATGTATGTAGTATCATCATCATAATGTATGTGGATCATCATTTAAATGTTTACTTTAAATTTTTCTCCCAAAGAAGTAAAGCCAATATTGTATTTCTGGATTGCTGGTCAGTTGTTTACCAGAGAAGCCGATGAACCGACTGACCATGTTCCTGAGACCGGCATCAGCCCCGTGCTGCAGCAGTATTTCCGCACACTTGGGGTGGCCATATGTAGCTGCGTTATGGAGGGGTGTGTTTTCCTGTTGGAGCATTGACAGTGCAATTATTCATCCTTAGTATAATCAAATAGCAACACCTTATGAATGTTTATATTTACATCCCTTACTGACTCCAAGCCCGCTTAAAACCATTCCCTAAATTTGCCTTTTATACTTATTGTTTCTAATAATGGAGTAACACTGCAATTTTAGTCTTGTCCCGCTGACATTTTTACACAATTTTTTTTTCAATTTCATGTCTTAATCAGGTCATCGACCCCTGACTTTTTTGCCATGTGATGGCGTAGTTATTTCCGTATTCGTTGCGTTTCGCTGCGGTGTGATGCGTATCCAAATTATACATATACAGGGCACAATATGCATGATAATGTATGCGCAGCCCATGCTTTATGACACCAAAAAATGTATGATGTATTCCGACAGTTGATAATATGGTGTATAGCACCATGCGTTCCAATCCGTACCAGCTTCATGTTGGCAACAAGTTGAATTATAGACAGCAAATAAACCAGAGTAAGAAGATTGAGAAAATGAAGGTCAAATCTTACAAGATGATACAGAAATATTTCTTGTTTCACAGCGATCAGTCTACCTACCAACCCGTCCCCTGCGTTCACATCTGCACCAGCTGTCAGTAAAACTGATACAGTTTCATGGTGACCATTCTCGGCTACCCGGTGCAGGGGCGTGATTTGCTGTAAAACACATCAAATAGTCTTCAGTATTGCAACATAACGGACAAATATGCACTTTTTATATTGTTGTGTGTTGGTGATATTTTTTTGTTGATGATATTCTAAACAGCAAATGCTATATAGAAAATTATTGTCAATCGTATAAAATGACACAAAAATATTTCTTGTATCACAGCGATAAGTCTACCTACCAACACGTCCCCTGCGTTCACATCTGCACCAGCTGTCAGTAAAACTGACACAGTTTCATGGTGGCCATTCAGGGCTGCCTTGTGCAGGGGAGAGTCTTGCTGTAAAATACATCAGATGGTCTTCAGCATGACAACAGGACGAACAAATGTGCACTCATGTTGGTATATAACAGATTGAATTATAGTCTGTAAATAAACCACAATGTAGAAGATAAATGTCAAATCTTACAATAATTCTTGTACCACAGCAGCCAATCTACCTACATCATTATAAAGTATAAAACACAAAGTGCAAAACATAAAAATATTTCTGTGTCACAGTGGTCAGTCTACATACACATTTGTTCCGTGCGTTCACATCTGCACCAGCTTTCAATAAAACTGATACAGTTTCATGGTGACCATTCAACACATAAAAAAGTCGTCAGTATTGCATGCAACATAACGGACAAATATGCACTTTGTATATTGTTGTGTGTTGGTAATATTTCTGTGTCGGTGACGTGCTTTTTGAACAAAAATTCTATCCCATATAGAAAGTGAATGTCAATTTATACAAAATGGCACAAAAATATTTGTTGTATCACAGCAGTCATTCTACGGCAGTCTTTAAAAGATGTATCATACAAAATTGTTCAGTAATATTTTTTGTGTTACAATAGTCAGTCTACCTAATAACAACAACTTATCCCGTGCGTTCATATCTGTACCAGCTGTCAGTAAAACTGACCATTCTGGGCTGCCAGGTGCAGAGCAGACCGTTGCTGTAAAAAACATCATGGCGGGCTGAAGTAAACTAGTAGAACTAAAGTTGGAGCTCCTTAAGCTACTGGTACAACTAAGGAAAATTCCAAGTACTGCTTTGCCAAAAAAGTTGGAAGTCGTTACAGACAAGCTGAAAGCTGAATCCGTGTGCAGCGACCAGTGCGACATTGCCCTTCCCATCTGTGTCTTTTATAGGCGGTTTGCCCCTCCTGCTTCTTGATTTTCATTGCACATCCTTAAATGTTTCATCACCATATATAAGCAAAATGACGGAAGACATGGCAACAAACCACAAGGTCACAAGCATTAGGGTTGACTCCCTCCGCTAACAGCTGCTTCACTCTGTCCGTGTCTCCTTCCTCTGCAGCCTCCCGCAGCTCCTAAAGCGGCGGCAGACAGGAACAGGAGAAACAACTGTCAACACTCAGTCAATCAGAACAACACTCGGCATGTGAGAAGATTTAACACCTATCCCTTCATTTATCCGTCATACTGATATTTCCCTTCCTTTCATGTCTCTCAGTGTAGAGTTATAAAAAGATATATCATTTATCTCCTGTATTTGTGCATAGCTCACATATGTTTATTGTTTATTTCAGGCTTGACGGCCTATAGTACTCAGACACATAACATGGCACAAACACATTTGAAAACAAACATCAAAGTATGTACAGATAAATGTAAAAAAAGACGAGCTGTCCTGCCGCAAGTAGGTTACCTTACGGTGGGCGGACCATCTACATCAGGCTAGAGAAAAAGGCTTGTTACAGATATACATCACCATATGCCCTGTGGGGTTTGCCCGTGTGTAACATCACTACTCTTTTTATAATGTTTTCTTTACTCTACCTCCTTTTTCCTCCAACTCGACACTTTAGACCAGAAATCCTCTGACCCGGACTCCTTGTTCTCCTCCATGTTCTCCTGTTCTCTTCCGTCCATGCCTGGTCTGACCCTACAGATAGATACACACCACCTGCCAAGTGACACTGTCGTAACTAAGACTAGATGGATCTAATGCTTTCCTGTCGTGCAAACACAGACCCACATATATATAATTTCTGTCCCTAAACAATATTATGGTAGTGGAACAGACATTGCATCATGTACAGTTCACTCACGACATACCTGATTTACAAATTATAAAGCGTTTCCGAACACTGTAAATAAAACTGTACAAACAAAGGAGCGATCATTTCAAAGCCATACAAACAAAGCGTCAAAAACTTTCTAATTCATTCAACATGAACAGTTTATCTGTGTGCTAAAGGGCTGTGGTAAAAGTTTCTTTAGTTTGTGTACTTCAGGCGCTGCTACATCTGGCAGTTGCACCGTTATGCACCTGTTACTTCCGGGTTTACCTGAACTTTTCCAGAATTGTCTTAGGAGAGTCTGACGACCTTCTCCCAGTCTTTAACGTCTCTGCAGGGCTCTTAGACCCTCCAGGAACCGAAGGCTGTTAGTTCTGATGTCACAAGACGTACAGGTGAGTTCTCACAGCGAGTTCACACCCTAACCGTTGTCTACCTAGCTAAGGAGTCCCCTCTCTTCAAGCATGCCACCTGTCCATGGTGACCACTTTTTCTCGGTCCAAAAATTTTCCCCATTGACACAAGCATTAAGCAACCTGTCCAAGGTGACCACCTGGCCAACGCGACCACCCTGAATTGGGTCCGCTCAAGGCCTGATACCTGCCCATGGTGACCGCATCATTTTCGTTCATGTTGATTATTGATGATAACTAATGAAAAATCATGGAGAAACCAGTCAGTGTTTCTTTATTACTGGATGATGTTTTAGTTCGATGTAAATCGTTCCATGTGCCAATCTCCCCAAATGAATTTACAGCATTTGACATAAAAACATCTTGACTTGGAAACCATTTATGCCTCAGTCATGTTGTGAGGCGACCTTCTTCAAGCAGACCACCTGTCCAATGTGACCACTTTTCTTTGGTCCCCTGGGTGGCCGGCTTGGACAGGTTTGACTGTACACCGAATAATAAGAGCGCGCGCCAGTTTCGCCAGTACACGCCTTATTTACAATCATAGCATCTAAAGCGTTTCTAAATACTGTAGATCAAACTGTACCACCAAAGGAGCGAAAATATCCATTTAGATACCATCATAGCCGTCAACACATAGCGTCAATACTTTCTAATTAATAAATAAACAACAACAGTCGATCTGTGTGGTAGAAAGATATGCTCTAATGCTCAAATGTCTGTCTTTGGAGTCCATACCTTGCTAATGTTGATAAGGGCGGCACCTCACAATCTTGTTTTGACGTGGGTCAGAGTGCACCTTGAGTTTACCAACCTCGATCCGTTTGTACAAACCAACAATGATTAACACGTCACGCGGACGTGCCGAGGTGGCGGTGTGATCTTAGGTCATTACACTGTGAGGTGCCTGCTACAAAAAATCTGTCCATAGTGGTCAGTGATGAGATGGCGAATCTAAGCATTTTTACAATTTTTCCAAACACAATGTAGTATAAAAACTATGGAATGATTGTAGTCTATGCAGTTCAAACTTTTCAACTGCTCTGCGAATATGTATGTTAATCAGAAGTCGTAAACTTCCTACATTTTTTGTAAAGATTAAAACATCGGTTTGTAACTTTGTTACGTTTCTAATCAACAAAATTACTTTTCACTTGTCATAAAACAAACTAATCTCTAGTAATCAAACCGTGAAGTTGCAGACATTTCTGAAAAGTAAAGTAGTCTCTGTCATTTAAGCTTAAGTAGGACGCACACGTCAACATGATGGTCAGCAAGGGGAGCCGCAGACTGTACTTGTTGACAGTACTTAAGAGACATGGTTTGGACAGTATAGATCTAACACTAGTCTTCTGTGGCTTCATACGGCCAATATTAGGTAGAATATGCATGCACTGTTTGGCACCCTGGTATCACTCGTGCCCAATCTAGGATGATAGAAAGTGTACAAAAGAGAGCTTGTCGCATAATTCTTGGTCAAAACTTTGTTACCTACAGTACAGCATTGAACCAACTGTCCCTCGTATCACTTAGCAAGAGACGACATGAGCTGTGTTATACGTTTGCTACTTCACTTCTGAATTGTACAACTTTTTCGACATGGCTACCCCCCAACCGTGTAAGTCTGCATGGCAGGAACCTTAGATCAAAACATAATGCAACACAGTTCAAATGTAGAACTGAGAGGTATCGCAAGACTACACTGCCTTTCCTGGTTTGTCTACTTAATGAAACATGACACGTACAGGTGTTGTCCATCTACTATGATTGCCTGCTAGATTGTTGTATTTATATGTTTTAACAAATTAACGAAATGGTTTAAATATGTGTATATGTGCAGGCCTAACGTAAGGCTTTTTAACTTGTATTGATTGGGTATTAATGGTATAGACTACGTGTAAAATTATCTTGTTGTAATGCCATACTGTAATTCAGCTAAAGGGCTGCCACTGTATGGTTGATTTGAGTCGCCAATAAACCATTGATTATCATTATGATTATTATTTGACAAGAAAATGGCGGCCTGGTTGTGCCACGTATACAACACTCCTTACCTGCGGTGTAAACTCTAACAGACGTGGGGCGTGTTTGAAAACTCACCTGAGTGAAGTAACCTGAAGACTCGTACCTTTAGATGGTGCAAGAAACAAGCCTGATGATATGAAACAGGCTCAGTTGTCTCAGGTGTCACTGGTCTGCTGACGAGTGAAGTACCAGACTAGTCAACATGGCGGCTGGTTAGTTGTTGAACTTTGATCACCTGCCGACCGTTAGATCGGTGGTGTGACGCAGTTTGTTTTTACTAACATTGAACATCAAAGGTGGTACCGAAAATACTCATAATTTGTCAGTTGGCTCAATTAAATGATAGGACATCCCCAGACGTTTGGGTTTTGCGTTTGTCTGTATATAATGATCATGTAAGCCAGGAAGTATTATTTCTTTATCATTATTTCTGTCTCATAATCTCAGTCTAGCTTATCTATCTTTAATGTGAATAACCAGTTACCAACTCAAAATATTTAGGAAGCAGTTTTTTTTCCTTTAAAGTGCTCGTCCGTGTTTCCCGGTACACCCAGCTACAGCTCCAGGATTCTGCCACTTACTCCACCGAAGACACACAAGGCTCAATAACCCCCCTGTACAACAATGGACTGATCCAAGTGACGTCAGGACATTGATTTTTCCTTCCTAGTCTAGTCATGCTAGGCGCTGTGTGCAGTTGGCGGGGCCGGGTGCGTTCGGAGACCGAGGGAGCGGCTTGAGTGGGCCCGAGTGGGATGAAGAGGATAACGGGTTCTGTGTGCGGGTGTACCGGGGCCTGGCTGGCTGTGCTGGCGGCGGCTTGGGCGGTGTGTCCAGCGGAGGAAGGTCAGACAGTACCTAGTGTATATGTGTGTGTGTGTTATAAGCGGTGTACGCAAATTTTTATGTGCTGAAATTCAAGTGGAGTGGGTTCGGAGGGGGTGGGGGTCTGTGTTTCCCGTGACATTGACGATGCAACAGAAGTTGTTTTGTGTGTAACTGAATATATATCGATGACATGTTAGAAGTCGTCTATAGAAAACGAAACCGACAAACGAAGTGCCTCCATCTTGGATGACCGAACCAGAAACTATTTTCTGTCTTGCCGAGATACAGATCTGACATTTTCTCGTTGATTGTTCACATGCTAAAGGTGTGTGGTCCTCACCTGTTCAACTCAAGTAACAACAAGCGATAACTCGGTGGAGATGTTTGACAGATCACATGAAACATGCTTCATACTATATATATATTCTACGTGTATTCAAGAACATTGATTTGCCTAAGGCACGTTTTTGGATATGGACTATCCAGAACCGTGCATTTGTCGTCCATACTGTTTGTACAAGTCATACTGTTTTGCTGTTTTTTTACTTTACATGTATTGTAATAATATCTGGCGTCTCACAGACCAGGTAGATCTTTTTTGATACTCAGTCAAATATGACACGCGAGAAGGGCTTCAAGGGAACGCTACATCGGAGAACATCCTGATTGTAAATTTTCGTTTCAACCAGAATCAAGTCAAGAACATGACCATATTTTGCCAGGCAGGTTGCACTTTTGTTTTAACACCTACACGGTGAAAGCGAGAACTATTTTGGTTGTGCAAGAGTTCCAATATAAGGTAGTGTTTTTTGTCTTCTTTACAAAGTCACATTGTTGTGAATGTCCATAAGTAAAAGAGAGGGAAGATATTGATGAAGAAAAGTTCTCTGCAATATATAGTCGATACTTTACTGGTGTGGAGCTAAGATATATAGAAGGGAAATAAGGACAACATATCCAATATCAATTGTAAAACCATAATTTTCTCAAGCTTGTAAAACAACAGAAAGGCGTAAACAATCA